CACTTAGGGGTTTACTCACTTTTGTGGCCAGCAGTTTAGACATTAATGGCTGTGTGTTGATTTATTTTGAGGGGACAGCAAATTTACACTGTTATACAAGCTGTACACTCACTACTTTACATTGTAGCAAAGTGTCATTTCTTCAGTGTTGTCCTTGAAAAGATATATAAGGTTATAATAAAATATTTACAAAAATGTGAGGGGTGTACTCACTTCTGTGAGATACTGTATTTGTATTAGCATAGAATAAGAATGTAAATATAATATATTTTCAAAGTTGAATACAATAATTTGAGACCTACCGTAAAATATGTATATATATTGTATTTATCTACTGCAAAATATACTTGATGTTTGCACTTTTCATTGTAATATTTTACTGCTTTATTTTTTGTAAGTTACTTTCTTCCCTTTATTAATTGGGATTAGTAGGTTTCTTTTTTATGTTTTTTAACGTATCTTATGCTCATCAAGGCTGCATTTAATTGATCAAAAATACAGTAAAAAGAGTAATATTGTGAAATATTATTTCAATATAAAATAACTGTTTTTATTTTTATATATTTTAAAATGTAATTTATTTCTGGGATGCAAAGCTGAATTTTCAGCATCATTTCTCCAGTCTTCAATGTCACATGATGTCAGTATGTTGAAAGCATGCTGCTTAATATTTTTATGGAAACTGTGATACACTTCCATTCATAAGTTTGGAGTAAGAAAGATTTTTTAAAAAGTATAACATTTTACTTTTATTCAGCAAGGATGCATTAAATTAGTCAAAAGTGACAGTAAAGACATTTATAATGTTACAAAAGACTTCTATCTCAAATAAATGCAGTTCTTTTGAATTTTTTTCAATTTTTTGACAGTATAATGATCTCCACAAAAATATTAGGCAGCACAACTGTTACTTATAATAACATTTATAATAATGAGAACCAGTATTAAATTCCGTACCAATAATAATTAAGCAACAAACCAGCATCTTAGCATGATTTCTGAAGGATCATGTGACACTGAAGAGCTGGAGTAATGATGCTGAAAAATGGTCGCCGTGATTTTGCCAAGACATGTTCCTACATCTTTTGTTGATCCTGGATCAACATAACGGTCCAAAAATATAGACTTAACCCAATCCCTACCCCTAAACCTAACCCTACCCATAATTTATTCCTAAAACAGTGTGAAATGATAGCTGATTAACAAGGGTGTAGAAGCGCCTAACCCTGATTGTAAGCCTAAAACAGATATTTCCTGAAAAGTTATCCCTCAATTCTGATTGGTTGATAGGAATGTTGTTCCAGGATCAACAAGGATGTTGATCCTGGAACATGTTGTACTTGGTGAAATCACGCTCACCGCTGAAAAATTATTATTTTCAGTATTCTCTGATAAATAGTTCAAAAGTACAGTGTTGTTAAATTTTACTAACCCAAACCTTATACACTGTATATATATATAAAAATAGATTTTTTTATATATAAATAAATGACCCATATTTACTGTATATAAAACATTGTAATGCATTTCAAGTCAAATATAATTTGAATAAAAAGATACCTGAGGCAGAACCCTCTGGAGAACCTCTAGGCAGTCTGTAAAGATGCCTTAAATATCCTATTGTTTATTCAAGAAACTTCATATGTTTGTGAGTGCTTCACTCTTACTGGTGGAACCATTATCAGTCTTTAGATTTCTTGAAGCATCTCATGGCTTCCTCCTCAGTATACTGTAATTTCTGAAGTCTCCAGAGGGTTCAGAAGAACCCCAAATTCTGCCTCAAGCATCTTGCCATCATCACAGTGAACCTCCCATTAATACTGACAATAAAAAGTGTGAACTCTTACCACACAGCTCATCCGTGTCCACATTGCTGTAAACAGACCATAAGCAGACATGTTCATTTCTTTTCCACAACATGTTAAGAGACATGTGAGCTGCATCTAAACGTGATCTAATGTTCTGTGCTGATTTCAAGCTATGCAGACAGCATCCCGCTCAAAGGCAGGTCCTTTGGGACTGTGATGTTTGTCTAATGAGAGAGGGTCATATTTAGACAGCTAATCTCTAACCCTGAATAACACCCACAAGGCAAACACTGAGTCCACTGACAAGTCCATGTCTCAACCCTGCTCTGATGAGAGGCTCAATGCCGTGAGGCAAAGTCATCATCTTACCGGATGAGAATATAAAAAGTCAGAATACACGATATGTAATGTTGTGTAAAAATGTGTATTTTTCTGTTTGTTAAAGACTATAAAAATGTAGTGGTGAGGAACTAAATATAAAACAGCACATATATTTATAAATAACATTTTATATCATACTTTTATATAATATTATTTATATTTTTAACATTTTTATATAATATTTTATAGAATCATTTACATTTATTTTTATCCATATTTCACTTTTTGTATTAAAAAATCACTATGATTCAAAATGTAGTGGTAATAATGAATGGGAACATGCAAATTGGCTGAAAGGTAAAATTAGTGTTTTATTTTACTTTCGCACTGAACATCAAACAGAGCTACACAGATTACATTAATCACTACATATTGTGAAATATTGGGATATTTATACAATTGTTATTTTTGGTTGAACCCTTTAAACAGGTTTGATATTTCACCAAAAACACTTCAGATTTTTCCTCTGGCATGTCATGCATTATTTCGGCACAGTTTTGAACCCTTTAATTTTCCTTCAAGAAAAACTCAGAATAAAGCAGAAGAAAGCAAACTTCTTTATCTCTCTCGCACAAACACACACATCAGCATGGACCATTGCCATGGCTTTGTCTAACAAGCCAGAAACACGATAAGCATCAGTGTGACAGGAGTTGTTGTGTTTGAGAGCCAGCGCACCCTCGTTCTCACTGCCGCTGGAATGACATCATCAGGACAGAGTGGCTGCTGGGTGGAAGTCAATGCTTCCAGCTCTGCGTTAAAGCGAAGCTCTTGCATGCTTGCTACTAAGTCATGCCTTTTTTGTGACAAAATTATACAGCAAGAAAAGTGTTGTAAAAATGATAAAAAAGATACTTGAGGCACCATTTAGGGTTCTAATCTCCTTGGTATTTATTAATATGTAGGGCGGGAGTTGATTCCAAAAAGAATCGATTCTTTGATTCAGAGGCATCAGGTGAACTCCATTACTCTAATTATCAAATAACTGAAGAGCCATAACAGCGAGTACTGAAGATTTTGATTCAGCCCAAATGGGTCAAATGTTATGACTCCGTTGATAACAGTTCTCAAAGCAGTGCGTATCTAGTCGGCTGTAAGCGCTCTCTAAAGCAAGGCATAGTTGCATAATATGACATTTACCTTCACTAATCCAGTAATACCAGCCTTCAAATTAGATAGCAGAATTTGTTTTGAAATGCTGTTCATTTCAGTTTATCCGGCTAAGGATACAGGTGCATCTCAATAAATTAGAATGTCATGGAAAAGTTTTTTTTTATTGGTCTTATGGAGTATTCTAATTTGTTGAGATAGTGAGTTGGTGGGTTTTTGTTAAATGTGAGCCAAAATCATCACAATTAAAAGAACCAAAGACTTAAACTACTTCAGTCTGTGTGCATTGAATTTATTTAATACACGACTTTCACAATTTGAGTTGAATTACTGAAATAAATGAACTTTTCCACGACATTCTAATTTATTGAGATGCACCTGTACTAACTTCTTTTGCCTCATGTAACTAACAGCTAGAATACATTTCCATTGAAATACTACACTTAATTAATGGAATAATGTAGTAGGTATTTTATATTAACATTAACATTGACATTAACATATTGATATTCAGAAACTGTATTTGAAATGAATTAAGAGCAATAAATAAATACTGATAAAACCATGATTGATTTAAATTGGCAAGCATAAAATGGAGCAATGCCCACAGAGGCATGTTCATGCTGTTTATATTGGATTCATGTTGAAGAGCCGCTAACAAGTAATTTATTCACATAATACACATAATCTCTCCTAAAAGTGTAAATGCCAGCATCATCACATATGTCTAAGGACTGAAGTCTGTCAGCTTGAACAAGTGCGTAATGATACAATTTAACAAGTGTTGGGGAAAGTTATGCATTACAACGTAAAAAAAAAAAAAGTAACTAATTGTGTTACTTAGTTACTTTTTATGGAAAGTACTTTGGCGTTACCTTTTCTCATCTGGGCTGGGCTTGCTTGTTTGTTTTTAATATAAAAAAGTTCTGTTTTTTGTAAATGTAAAAGCCCTTTCACACCAAAAGTGAAATGTTTAAGCCTCAGGCTGAAGGAAATGTACATTCACATCTGTACAGTTTAGGGCGCAGCTCAAATAAACCTTTCAATATAGGACAGAGAATAAAGTTCACTCTTCAGCAATCAAATAAATAAATAAATAAACACAAATTTTATGTTTATCTAAAGTCATTTTTGCTTATTAGTATGGATAAATTGGTCATTGAAGACAATTGTTAATATTTGTGTTATAATTATTATTAATTATTGCAGATTTGCATAATATTCCGAGTTTGAATTTCACTGTTTTTATTCATTTTAAGGAATACTGAATCTGTTTTTGAGCAGATGAGTGAATGCATGTTCACATTTAGTTTAGAAATACAGTAACCTTCATGTTCACACAGCGCGCACAACGCCTCTGCACTTACTCCTGATTTTTCACAACATGGGGACAGGAGAGCTATCAGTCAATAAATGGGAAAATAAAGTACAAATGGCCTCATTTATTTGAAAAACTTGGATATTTTCTTGTAAATTCAAAAGTAATGTGTTACTTTACATATACTTTTTAAAAAGTATAATCTGATTACGTAACTCGCATTACTTGTCATGTATTACCCCCAACACTGGTCAGTGGCTTCTATAAATATCTAGTTTCTACACATTTATGTTTCAACTAAGTTTAATGGTGCAAAGCAAACATATTTATGCGTAAGTTGTAACTTTTATGTTGTAACTTTCACACAGCTGGTGCAACCAGCTCCAGATCTTTGCCTGGACTCTGACTTAAATGAGCTGGTTTCGACTTCAACACTGTTTCTAGCATACATATATTCCTGAGAGTCAATACATTGAGATTCTGGATATGTGATTGTATCTGAGTACTGAACTTGGACACTTGTGGCAGTACAGTTCCATTTTGTTATGGGTTCCGTGTTCAGAAAACCACCATTTTTGAAAGGTTTCCTATAGGACGTCCAAAGGGTTCAATCAGTGTGTTGATCTGAGGAGCCCAAAATGGTGCCTTGTCATTAGTATGTGTATGTGAATGAAAAAAGCAGCAATACTTACTTTGTGTTATGAGTGTCAATTGTATGGAAGAGCTCCTTTAATTCATCTCCTGACAGAACACCATCTGAGAAATAAGCCTTGAACTCATCAAAGGACAGCTTCCCATCATCTTTTGAGAGGAAATTGTGGTTAAAAAGTTGCCTTCAAAAAAAGAATCTAACTCATAAAACTATTTCAGATTTTTAAAAGACTTAAAGTGTTCAATCTATAAAAGAGAAAGCAAGCAAAGTTCATCATCCTTTAGATGATGCAAATTTAGCTCCTGCACGTCAGATCTCAGGTGTTTGGGAAAACATGAACACACAGATGCCGCGAGACAATGTTTGCGACAGGGCTGAGGGCTCGTGTTAGTTGGCGCAGACGCCCAGAGGTTTTCAAACAAACAGTGACAGGTGAGTCATGCCAGCCTATACTCAAAATAGAATAAATGTACTGCTGCACATGCCGTCTGCTATACTCCTACTAATATACAATATGAAATTAAATGCAGTGAAAGAGCCTCAGAAAGAACACAATATAAGGAAGAGGGACAGAGGTCTGCAGAAATCCTTGTGCCTGACATTATACACTGAAAAACCTGCAACTGTTACCATAAAGAGATATTTCTACCTAATTTAACCAATAAAAATGAGTTTTCTTTGTATAAATTCATGCAATAAGGTTGATTCAGTGATGTTAAATAATATTTCACAATTGTTTGCATAGTCTGGGTTTAAAAGACACTTAATATTCAGCAATATAATCAATTTGGCTTCACTGATATCAACTGAACGGAGCTGGATGATGACATTATTGTCTTCTGTAGAGCTGCTTTATAGTCAAATCAAATTTTGATTTTGCAATGTCAACACTGTTTTTTAACCAAACTGAGTTTGAATTCACAATGACTGAACTGAACTTCACATAAGAAATCCAATCAATGCTATTTTTAAAATTCCATGGCTGCTAAAACTGAACTATGATTGGAGATGTAAAGAAGGATCACAGTGGCATTTGTTTGTATCGCTCTACTAAAATATTGACTAACATTAGGAAACGTATGGACATCCAGTGTTTCCATGACAACAGAGCAACAGCATAGACTGGGAATGGACAACCACTCAAACATATTGATGCACAGTTAGAGTAATGTTTTATAGTCAAATCAAATTTTGATTTTGCAATGTCAACACTGTTTTTTAACCAAACTGAGTTTGAATTCACAATGACTGAACTGAACTTCACATAAGAAATCCAATCAATGCTATTTTTAAAATTCCATGGCTGCTAAAACTGAACTATGATTGGAGATGTTAAGAAGGATCACAGTGGCATTTGTTTGTATCGCTCTACTAAAATATTGACTAACATTAGCAAACGTCTGGACATCTAGTGTTTCCATGACAACAGAGCAACACCATAGACTGGGAATGGACAACCACTCAAACATATTGATGCACAGTTAGAGTAATGTGTACGAGACTAAAACAAACACTTTATTATGCAGGAAACAACAAGTGCACAGAAAGGCAATGTCTTACCATTTTTATCAGCTCTTCTCAATATCTGAAAGCAAACAGGACAATATCAGTTAATAACTAGGGGCCATGGAAAAATCATGCTGCGTTGATCATGTAAAGGGACTCTAGCACTGTAAATTATTTAGGCCGGGGCCTAAAAAGACCAGAGATGAAAGAAAAAGTGGTGATGGCTATGTTGACTTTGAACACCCAGGCGCGCTGTAGTGGTCTGTTAAATAAAGTCCCAATTCACAGCGAGAATATTCACACTCTAAATATGGTCCTCTGCAAGGCATGCCAAGACTATGCTGAATATAGCTTCCTCCTTAGAGGAGTGAAAAACTATGCCACCAATCTGTCAGGGACCGGTGCGCTTCCTTATTCCTGTATGATAATTAACAATACACACCTCATGTCTCAGGGGAAGCTCTTTAGACAGCACACTACAATTTAATTAGCAACTAAAACCGCACTTACAATCGCTCTTTGGAGCGTGTCTTTGTTGTAAAAGAAGATCCACATCCATTACAGAGCAGAAAAGAGATTTAATGACCAAATGTGTATAAACTATGCATAATGACTAATTAATAATATGCTAATTAACATTATGGATAATGACTGCAAACAGACTAAATGATGATAGCATAACATGAATATCTATGAAGTCACACATCACCAGACCACTTCAACATTAAGACCTGAGATCAGTTAAGTTGAGATCCAACTAAATTTAGTTAATTAAATATATATATGTGTGTGTGACCCTGGACCACAAAACCAGTCATAAGTAGCACGGGTATATTTGTAGCATTAGCCAAAAAATACATTGTATTGGTCAAAATGATTGATTTTTCTTTTATGCCAAAAATCATTAGGATATTAAGTAAAGATCATGTTCCATGAAGAGATTTTGTAAATTTCCTACCGTAAATATATCAAAACTTAATTTTTGATTAGTAATATACATTGCTAAGAACTTCATTTGCACAACTTTAATGGCGATTTTCTCAATATTTTGAGAGCCTGAGATTCCAGATTTTCAAATAGTTGTATCTCGACCAAATATTGTCCTACCTAGTCTAACAAACCATACATCAATGGAAAGCTTATTTATTCAGCTTTGTATAGATCTCAATTTTCTCAATTTACCCTTATGACTGGTTTTGTGGTCCAGATCTCTCTCCCTCTCTCTCTCTCACACACACACACACACACACATACACATACACATACACATATACACAGTATATAT